TTCTGGTGTTCCTCAAGGTGGTCATCTCAGCCCACTCTTGTTCACCCTCTATGTCAACTCCCTTTCCGATTTACTACTTAACTCTAAAGTACTTCTTTTTGCCGATGACATTAAACTTTTTCTTAACATAAATTCACCATCTGACTGTTTACTCCTTCAATCCGACCTCGACACTTTCTCCAATTGGGCCATGGAGCTCAACCTATCTCTTAATACCAGCAAATGCCACATAATGTCGTTCTCCCGCAAATTCTCCCCCTTACACCACTCCTACTTCCTCCAAGGCTCACTTCTCAACCGTGTTTCCGTTATCAAAGACCTCGGTATTTATTACACTCCTACTCTTTCCTTTGAATTCCATATGAATAATATTATTGGTAGAGCCCTAAAAGTATTAGGCTTTATTAAAAGAAACACTTCTAACTTCTCCTCTCCTTCCTGTCTCCGTGTCCTCTATCTTTCCTTGGTCCGATCTATACTAGAGTATGGTGTTGTAGTATGGCACCCTTACCTTACTAAAGACATTATAAGAATGGAAAGAGTGCAAAATAAATTCCTTTCTTACGCTGCCTTCCTTTTGAAAATAAATCATCCTCCTCATGACTACTCCACTATTCGCACCGCTATCCGACTTCCTTCCTTAGCCTCCCGCAGAGAAGATGCTGACATCTCATTCATAAAATCCCTTCTCAATGGTTCCATTGATTCTCCTGAACTTCTATCCAAAATATACTTTCGTGTCCCTTCCTTTAACACAAGAAACCACTCCCTTTTCAAACTTCCCTTTCATTCCACCTCATATGGCCAAAACCACCCACTACACAGAATACTTAGACGACTTGATGAGTTTAGTCTAGACCCATTTTGTGTTTAGTTATAATTCTACGCTGCTAATTAAAATAATTTATATTGTACATAGTATTAATGTCTTGTTGTATATATTCAAATTTAGCTTTTAACGTTTTTAGTTTGTAGTACTTTGTTGCTGTATCAAAATAATTAACCTTACATTTAATGTTTGCTTCCTTTTGTAAAATTGCCTGTTTAGGCGTTAGAAAATAAAATAAATATGACGGGGTTTGATGCTTATTTGAGCCACTACTTTATTGCATTAATAATATTATTACTCGAGGTATGAGTACTAGGGTCTATAAGAAAGATAGAAAAATAAAGTGATCTTTTTAGCTTCGATGCGAAGCTGAGAAGGTATTGGTTTTACTATGATGTGTTTTTTTTTTGTGTCTGTTACCACTTTTTCTCAGCTCTCACTGAACGGATTTCTTTCAACGATACGTCAAAAGATCACAAATCGTATCTAGTGGAAGACATTACCCTTCAAAATTGAAAAAATTTCCCTCGTTCCCCGTAAATGGGGGAAACCTCCAAAAAAATTACAAATTTAAAAATCGTTTATCTTTATCGAGATATTAATAAGGAACCAGCAGATCAAGTAGCTTTTGGAATAAAACACCAATTTTTTTTAAATTAAGCACTATCTAAATATTTGCATCGAAGCGTTTATTTTTGATAGTGATTTTAATCACTGTCAGATATCATTATACTTGATCCAACTNTATTTGCATGAAGCGTTTATTTTTGATAGTGATTTTAATCACTGTCAGATATCATTATACTTGATCCAACTATACCACGTCACAACTGTGCCGCGACCCCCCTGTGCTGGGTTTTTTNACGTCACAACTGTGCCGCGACCCCCCTGTGCTGGATTTTTTTTTTATTAATGTGGGATTTTATTATAATTAATTGTTAATTCTTAAATATCAATAATGCCATGAGTTTTGACGGTTATCGATAATAGGTGGGATTGAATCACCTCGTGTGTCTATCCAGAGTGATATGGTGGCTATACATATGAACCTCCAACCTAACTCCTGAAATAGACACGTATCAAAGATTTAACTCTGCCAAATAACTCTGTACAAACATTATCGATTTTATTAAATTTACTTGGTATATTTCTTATTATTAATGATCACTTGATTTTCCTGTATGCCTACCTAATCTATATACTCAATTCTAAACCTCATGTATTTTTGGTGAAATTATTAATTTCCTACCTTGATATTTCTAAGGATACGCTGAAATAAATGAATATTGTATTTTTGTGTAAATATAATTGTATGGACGGTGGATCACTTCTTGCATATATTTCGTTATGTGGAATGATCGAACGTAGTGAGTGCTTCTATGAATATCTGACCGCATCTGTACAAGTGAGAGCATTCTGACTACCATCTCTGAATACCAGAATGCTCATTATTTTTGGCTTTTCATATTAAATTTGATTGTTAGTTCAAAGGTAAGAAGTGATCACTGACGCTAACATTATTTCCTTATTCATCGTAATTTATTACATTTTCGTCAATAATCTACATTTCATAATGTTCTACTGTTTGTTCTATAAAATCTTACACATTATTTATTACCTTATGTCTAACATTATTATTACATACTGTTAATTATTTCTTGTTTCTTTTATATAATTAATCTATGCCTTTTTCTACGAAATTTCATTATTATATTTGAAAATTTAAAAAGTACATATATATATATCTTATTTTTATTGGTATACATTTCATTTTGTGTGATTGTTTAATTGAAGTCTTAAATAATACATTATGACATTAATGATGTACTGTGTATATCATTATACAGACTTTATTAAAAGCCTGGGCTATGTTAAGGATTACTCCGCAACAATAATTTTTTTCTTCAAACGCGTTACTTATCACGTTTGTTACACGATGAATTTGGTCTATAGTTGAATGTTTGTTTTTAAAACCGAATTGATGACTTGGTATAAATTTCATTTCTTCTATTAAAGGTTTGAAGCGCTTTAAAATAAGCTTTTCTAAGATTTTAGCCATACTGGTCAAGAGTGATATTGACCTATATGAAGAAAATTGCTGTAGAGGCTTGCCAGGTTTCAGCAACATTACTTGCGCCTTTTTCCATTGTTCTGGAATATAATGTGTGTGTATTATAGCGTTGTAAATATGAGTTAGATAAATGATAGCTTTTTTTGGTAATTCTTTTAGAATACGAGGGCTGATTTCATCATAACCCTTTTTTGGGTTGATATTTGTATCAATTTCATGTGCAACTTCTAATAGTGTTAAGTGCCGTATTTTGTAATTAATTTCGTTTGATGGTTGATATTCTACTTGGTCAAGTTCTGAGTTTATGTCGTTCGGTTGAAAAACATGTTCTAAATGAAATGCATATGCTTCTGATTTGTCCACAACAGTACGCGCCCACGTACCATCTTCTTTACGAATAGGACGTATACAAGCTCGAGGTCTTTCCATTTTTCTTGTAGCTTTCCATAAAGAATAATCGCTAGAAATTGTAGTAGATAGTTCGCCAAAATTTTTCATTTTAACTTCTGATTTTCTCACAAAGTGCTTTGCATAAACGATTCCATTCATTTTTATCTTCTAAATGACGGGTAGTATGCCATTTTCTTCTAGCTATGCATTTTTGCCGAATAACTTTTTTATCTCCGCTGGATAAATTGTTTCACGATATCTGTCTTTACAAGTTTCTGGAGTAGCTTCTTTTGTCGCTTTGACAATATCATTAGTTAGTTTATGTACTACTGTTTCTATGTCGCTAGCTGTTTTCAACTGTACGGAAAGTGTGATAGTTTTTTCTAGGGCCATTCTCAAAAGATCCCAATCTATCTGTTTATTTGTAAGAAAAAATTTCCGCTTTTTTAATATGACATTCGAATTTATTGTTAATAATAGGGGAATGAGATCAGACGACAGTCTACCAGTACTTCTGTTTGAACATAATTAGAAGAGATACCACCTTTAATTACGAAGAAGTCTAAAAGATCAGGAATTTTATTTGAGTCACTTGGCCAGTAAGTTAGTTTTTTAGTAGAAATAAACTCAGCTTTGTTGTAATTAGCTGATTTTAATAGTGCTCGTCCTTTAGGCGTAATAAGTCTTGATCATCAATGAGTATGTTTGGCGTTATAATCGCCACTTACGATAAAATAGTTGTAATCCTCTGATTACAATACGAAACTTTTTTCTTTTTTTAATTGATATCTGTGAATACTCAATTTTATTTTTTTCAAGTATTTTTAAAGTAAGTCTAGAATTGTAAGGATTAAATTTACACCCAGGTTACTACTGTGGATATTTACATCATTGTATTTTACTGTTGTTACGTCGCTATTTAGGGGTTTAACCTAAATGCCCGTCGACAGTATTCTAAGGGACCAACGGGGGATAGCTGGCTAGGCTATATCTACCTTAGGTACTGAAGTTTCCTATTTAATTTATATTCCCTTAGAGGAACTACCAAGGGTCGCACTACAATATATATATATATAACACTTTAGGTTAACAACGATATAAATAAATATTTATTAAGCAATTGAAATATTAAATAGATAATACAACCTGCTGGACACCTAGAGATGTTATAATCCAACAGGGAGCTGACGGCGACACACACACACACTATAATATACGGGGTAGCGAAGTTAAGTTAATTATCAGGCAAAAGTAGTGATCGCGAAGATGGTAAAATGTCAACTGTCGATAGGGATATCTTATTATGGCACATTGGCCGTGAATTGCAAAAAGTGTTTATGTGTGCAGTCCGCCCTCCTGTTAGTATTGCTGTATGTCACTGTGTTAGTTATATATATATATATATATATATATATATATATGTCTATTAAACGGTACAACGATGGTATGGGAGACAGAGATATGGGCACATGCAAATGTGATCGTATCACTGTAAAAGAAATGTTCGATATTGATATTTCTGTATATCATAGAAATATAAAAATAATTGTGTAATATAAATATATTACACAATTTTTGAGAAATTAAAGTTCTTTTGAACTTAAATAATATGTGTATATTAACATAATATACATATTAATGTATAAATTATTTTTGTTCATACTAACTTTTTGTATAATTATATTCTAATTTTTCTGTTTCATTTGTTAGATGTTTGGAAGAAAATAATTGGGATTATGCCAAAGCAGCCAATTGTTTTTTGAAACTCAAACCAAATATTCCATCAGCAGCATTTCTTCATTGATTTATCTATTTTTTTAATCAGTTATGACTATGTTGTTTTAGTTTATATTGTTCTTTCAAAATGTATTCATGTTAAGATTTAAAGATCATATTAATTTTTATAAAAAAAAAGTATCACTAAATCTCTTATTAAATGATAGTGTTCACATCTTTGAATAAAACTTGATTTTTAACTTTAATATCCATTTATTTTTTTATACGGAGTCAAATATAAAATAAAGTAGTGATCTACTTATAACTTATTAATCAAAACTAAGTACTTTTATTGACCAAAGTCAATTTTTCACTAATTAATAAATAACGTATCATTAAGCTTGACCAGGTCATAAATATTAAGAATTAAAAATTTCTTTCATTAAAAAAATTTGAGATTGATATTATGAACACTTTAATTTATTCATGATTTAATATTTGAAAGAATTGGAATACATAATCTAAGTAAAATCTTTTTCTTTTATAATAAAAGTTATTAATAGTTATAAATAAGTCAACATTTCATATAATAGGTTATAAAATAATAACATCAGAGTTACAAACAATCCATAACAAGTATCACTTAATACTAGAGACTAATTAAGCATAGTTTGAAATAAAAATAACACTAAGAATTATGATTTTAATATTACCTAAATGCAATATTGTGAAATATTCATTAATTGTTAAAAAAAAATCAAGTAAGTGTGTAACATTCATCTCTAGAATATAAACATCAAGAAAATTAAAAGAAAATAATAAATTAACAATATTTTCTCAGGTTATAAAATTTAGAATGCAAATTAACTTTAAAATTTTTCAGTAGTATAAAAAAATATTCAGTTTTTTATTCTATTATTCATCTGCACCAAGCTTTTCCATGTCATCAACATTTTCAGTGTTTAAACATTTTATTGTTTTAGAAAAATGCTCTTCTATAAGTCTTAGTAATCTCAAATCTGTTTCACCAGTTATTAGATTAATTGCTATACCTTTTTTTCCAAAACGCCCAGTTCGGCCAATTCTATGTAAATATGTTTCAAAATCTGGTTGTCGACTTACAGTGAGTGGTAAATCAAAATTTATAACAATTGTCACTTGTTCAATATCAATACCTCAATAATAAAATTTATAATCAAAATTATTTAAGATTCAAAACAATTTTTATTTATTTTAACATGCTATACCTCTAGACATTACATTGGTTGTAATTAGTACTTTTTCTTTGCCTTCACGGAATCTGTCCAAAACGCTTATTCTTTGTTGAACAGTGAGTTCTCCAGATAGTAATGACACTGCATGTCCTTGTTCACTCATTTGTTTAACTAACCAAAGCGCCATTTTTTTTGTCTTAAAACAATATAAAATTAAAATATATACATACATAGATAAATTATTGGTCAAATAATAGTAGAATAAACAATGCTATCCTCACATTTAAAAATCAAAAAACACTTGTCTGACATATAATCACCTAATATAAAGAAAAAACTTTAAACTTTTCACAAAATGTGGCAATAAAAAATTAGTTAAACACTATACTGATATGCCATGAATATAATACTACATGGAACAGCTTCAAAATTTAGTTTAAAAGAAACCAACCTCTTAACATATTAGAAATTTAAAAACTTATTAAAAGAATCTGAATTAAAAACAAAATTTAGTTACGGCAATTTAAACACTTATATAATCTTTTTTTTTTTTATATAAAAAACCAAAATGTTAAAGAATGAATATTATTGTAATATTTATTGCTAATGATCTCAACAGCTAAGGCATTTTGTTATTAAAAAAATAATAATTGGTTTTATGTAATTAATCTAACTTTATTAAAAATACTGGTATTATGTCAGATTATTACATATAATTCAATACATACGTTATACTTCATAAGACACTAATTATAATAAATAGATAATTTTTAAAATGCTTATTTAATAAATATTTCAAAAAAGTTTAAAAAAAAAAAACTAGTAATATACTTCTGGACTAGTAAACATTTTTTTATAAATTATTTTAGTAAAATTATAAAATGGTATTTAGACAATATTAAATTATTGCTATCAGTATGTATTTTACGTAAATAAAAAACATTTTAATTACATGGCAAAAAATCATGGCCTGTCCAATGGTAATACCGCCATAAATATTTACTAACGCATTATATTTATCTTCTTTTGTACTACAAGTGACATAATATTGACTAATATTATCAAGGGTTTCTTCTTCTCTTTTTAATCTAATAATAACAGATAGTGGTGCAATTGCATTAGCAAAACTCATCACATCTTCACCATAGGTAGCTGAGAAAAACATCATTTGACATGTATTAGGTAATAGTCTGTAAGTGAAATTATAACAGTTTTATAAAATTTAAATAAGCTACTCTGTTCTTAATTTAAATAATGTTCATACTTTCTTATACGGAAACTCTGATCTTGGTGACCTTGAGTATCCACCATAATATCAGCTTCATCCAAAACAAATACATTAATTTTCTTAGGATCAAAAAATTTATACTTTGTGACCCAATCTAAAACTTTACCAGGAGTACCAACGATTATTTGTTCTTCTAATTTTGAACCCATGACAACTAAAATTAAATATCAATATTTAAAAAGATTCAACCATAATAATACATACATTAAATAAATTACAGACCATCTTCACCCCGGACAGCATATCTTAACTTAATATTGGGACAGTAAGTTGACATTCTAGCTGCAACTTCACCAGTTTGAATGGCTAATTCATATGTAGGAGATAAACATATTACCTAAATAGGATATAAAAATAAAATAAAAATAACAAATGAATAAAGTGAAACACAGTACATAAGTAAAATTTTCAGAGAAGCATAGAAAAGTTAAACATAACATTCTATTCATTTTATTTTTTACACAAACTCATTTATATCTTGATAAATCTTTTTTTTTTAACATTTTTTTAAATTACATTATCGAAATTGATAACATATGAAAATATTTTGGAATTTCTTAATATACAGTGATTATTTTATCATAAATACTTTATTTATTCTATAATTTTTATTTCTAGGCATTTCTCAGCCGCACTCTTTCTCTTACCTAGATATAAAAGTTTTAAACATTTTATTTATAGTCAAGCTCATTTTACTTAAGTGTCTAATATAAACGAAGGACAGGAGAACATACAAGTCATTTATATAGTTTACTGGAACTAGCCTTACAAATACAAGTCCAAACGTTAAATTTCCACACAAAATAGATACTTATTGAGAACATTTTAATTTAATTAAAATGTAATATTGATCCTTTAAAAGTAAATATGAAAAATCTGTAAAAATATAGTGGTATAAATTGCTAAAAGTCCAGCTTCTAAAGCTTTAAATCAAATAAGTGTTAAGAACTTTAAAAAAAAAAAATTTTAATTATATTTTAGTTATTAAAAAAGTGGACGTTATAGTCACTAAGCATGCACTCAGACTTAGTAGTCTATTATGTGCACTCCATACCAAATTTTATGATAAAAATTTATTTATAACCAAAGTGTAAATGTTTAGCTTTACTATTCTCTCTCTTCTTCTTAAAAGTTTCTTTAGTTACATCTCTGCTTTCACAAGATAATTTTGAAAAAGATAAGCCTTTTCAGTTTAGTCAACAACAATACCAATTGGTTTTATTAATCCTAAAATATGCATGTTGACCTTTTTTTCGTTTTTTGGCAAATTATAATTCATCATAGTATCCTACTACTACTATTATCATGGTTCATCTTTAAATGTCTTATTTGTATCATTAAATTTTAAATTATCTGAAAGTCTTCTATGGAATCTCATTGTTTTCACCCTTGCCCTAATAGGTTTTCCTTAATCGGATCTTTAATTTTCATAAAATTATCCATTTTAATGGTATATCCATACTGTTCTGAATAAGCTGAGAAAAATCCATCACGGCAGACCTTGGCACTGTAGTATAACAGTTTTAGTCTGAGTTTTAACTCAGATTAAAAACAATACTTATAAGATTTCTTATATACTGTAAATCAATGTAAATACTTAAAAATAATTTAGCATAGATAAATTTAATATAAAACTCCTGTGAAAAACTGTTTACATTTACTTCATACAAAAAAAATTCATTGTGATAATAATATAATATCAAAAATTGATATTATATTATTATTTTTAATTTATATATATATATATACACACACACACACATATATTACCTGTGGATACTGTAAATCTGGGTTCACTCGACTTAACATAGCTAAAACAAAAGCAGCAGTTTTTCCTGTACCAGATTGTGACTGAGCAATTAAATTTTGTGGACTACATTTAATGTTAAAAATTATGTTAATGAAGTATGTAAAATTTAATAAATTTATAAGTATTGGTTATAATATTTATTAAGGATTGGAATTGTTATTAAATTAATTTTACAATCCACTCTTCTTCAATAAAAATTTAATTATCTTTATTTTTTTTATTAAAATTATCATTAACTTTTAACACACTTCTTAGTTATGCATCGAATCTAAAATTGTAAAGTATTAATAATATCAAATAAAATTTTTATGTAAGCCTAGAATTTAATAGGACATTTATGAAAATATATGTTTTCATCATAAATAGTAATACAATATGTAAAAAAAATAAAAATTAATTATTGAATTTTAATGAAAAATAGTGAAAATGAATAGAAAACTTTTAATAACTAATATTAATTTTGAGTTTTATTATATAAAACTAATTTAAATTATAGAAGGAGATAAAGTTTTCAAAACATCATAAGAATTTATAGTAATTAATATAATAATGATAGCTAAATCTGCTTATATGTAAAAAAAAAACTTGAAAAAGTTTTAAATCTTACGGATTAGCCAAAAGTAATGGCAGTGCCGTTTCTTGAATTTTAGAAGGTGCATTGTATCCCATTTCATAAACTCCTTTTAACAAATTTGGATGCCTAAAAATTAAATAGAATAAATCAGTTTTAGTAATTTATTATTAGTATTGTTAGAAATAAGTACAACTGTAACCACCTATAATAGCTATCATATATGATCACTTGATTATTTGATCTATAGATCATAAGCTATACCACTTATTCTTCTTAAAATAAAGCATTTTTATAAATACAATAAAATTTAGATCAAAAATTTTTTAAAAATAGTTCTAAAACTTTATTTTGGTAAAAAATGATAAAGTAATGAACAAGATAAGCAACAATTTCAAGTGTGAATTATCTCAAATATAATAAAATTTCTAGATAAGCATATGTATTAAACTACTGTATGATTCCTAGTAGGTATGCTCAATTGTATGTTAAGTTGAATTAAAAAACTTTATTTCTAATAAATTTAATTATAATTGTAATATCTAGAAAAATATTTAATACTCTTTTTTAATGGAAATTTTCTGCTTAATGGAAGTGAAAGACCTGTGTTACATGTAATGATAATAATGAATAATTTAATTATATTTTACCAATTAAAATTTCAAACAATATTTTAATCAAATAATAATGAATTAATAATAATCAATAATAGTAAAAATAATGTTACAAGTATATTAATATACATTAGTAAATAATAATAATATATATATAATATTACTTAACACTAATACCGATATAAGTAAACAAGAAAAGAAAATTTGTAATTTAAATTGAAAATTAACATTTATAACTACGATTTAACATGCAATGACTTATTTAGGTTATCAAATTTAATCAAAAATGTTTTTATTGTCATGATTATGGGATAATAGTAATTGAAGTTCAATTCAATAAAATAACACAACAATAAATATCAAATGTTAAAAAACTAATAAATATATAATTAAAGTCATATCTTCACGATTAATGAATTTTGGTAAGAAGTTGATGGTATAATTAAATCAAGACAAATAGACTATTTTAAGCTTACAGTTTGAGAAGTTCAAATGATTTAACAGAATATAAAGGCGAATTTGGATTTCGTCTTTGAATTTCAATATCATATTTTGATGTAATAAGTCCTGTCCGAACTATTTTTTGTAACAAAGACTTTTCTGCAGCTGGTAATTCTTTTTCATCGTCATTATCAAAACAGGTATTCATGTAATGATTGTTTTTTACTTCTTCAAGGTTTTTGAAATGCGAACTATGAAACTAGAATTTTAATAAAACCATAAAAAACATTACTTTTTAAAATGGTTGTTCAAGGGATTCATGAAAATTGAAATAAACTAATAAAATCAGAGAAGACTTACGGAAGAAACAATTGTTTCCATATTTATATGATATTACGTAAAAATGTTTAAAAATAATTTTACTACACTTATTAATTTAATTTTTAATTAATGGAAGCCCACATAAAGGTTTTATGACCACGTGTGATTAATTATCAATAACATTTTAAATTAAATTTTCAACCGTCTGTTCCTGGTAACGAGTAACAGACGTTCTAATGTTCCCAGATATCAAGCAGCCAATCCACTGAAAAAAAACCTTAGTGAACTCAACAAATTTTTTGTTAATATACAGCTGACAATAATTTTTTGTTGGTTAAACAAATACTTTTGTTATTAGAATAAAAAAATTATCAATTAAACAAATATTTTGATTTAGTAACAAAAAAATTTTGACTGTATTCAATATTTCAGTATATATATAGTAGTATTAGATAGTGGCGGCACTGTATAGCAAGTAAAAAATAAAGTAGTAGTAGTAATATAGAAACAAACAGTAGCGAATCGTGAATAACAATCAATTAAAATTATTATTCAGTATAGGCATTAATGAAATAAATAAAACAGATATAAAAAACATACCGTAAACGAGCTAAGCCAACAGTATAGTAACGACCACAAGCTTATTTCTCGTTACCATTTTTCAAATAATGAGACTAATAAAAGACTGATATTTATTTATATTGTATTGTATTTATATTGTATTGTATTTATATTGTAGTTGTCACAATAATACTAATTGTAATTTTAACTATTATTGTATACATTGTAGTGATTAAGTAATGACTTATTTTGTGTGTTTACTACGTGCAATTTAGCCTATATTAATTTGTATTTTGAAATCATAATTTTTTGTTTCCAAATAATACTTTTCACTATAAGAATTTACATATGTACAACTATTTTTTTTAGCTTCGTTTATGTTATATTATTATTGTTAATATGACTTAAATGTGTAAATATTTAAATATTGCAACATAAATATATTATGACTGTATTGTATTACAACAATATATATATTTTATTAACTAGATGATGTGTTCAGTCATTGATTGTTTTAAGATATTTAATCTTATGTTGAAGCATGCTATAGTAAAATTATAAATAAACCTTTATACTATTGTCATAATACAGTAAAATGAAACGAATAATGACGAGCAGGAGGAGGATGATGGATGATGTGGTGCCTGCTGTCTAGGTATTCACGTGCGTGTTGTCGTACAGCAGTCACCGTGCTCGGCTGATACTCCGGGTTAGCTGTGGGTGTCGAAAGGCTGTTGTTATAGGAAGGGAGAATAAGAGTAACACTTAGGTATGAGGTGCAGACGAAGTGCAAGACACAAATACCAGGTGTACGCAAAAGGAGCCCAAAGTATGAGGGGCAGACGAAGTGCAAGACACAAGTACTCTGAAATGTCGAGGAAAAGAGTATATAGGTTAGAAAAGGAATAAACAAAGACTTTACTTTAAACAGTAAGCCGGACAGCGACAACCGAGTACTGAGACTGATGAATGACACAAGGCACTGGAGTCGACTGACCACGATGGTCAGGTCTATTGGGTTTTTATAATAATTAGAACTATTGCCGATTTGGCAATAAATATTATTTGTTAATTCATCAGTCTCAGGCAGCGGATGTGCTGTCTGTATTTTATTAAAATAATTCTCACGATTTTGAAAACGTGACACCATCACACTATATATATATATATATACAGAGTGATTTTTTTTTTTGGTAATCTTTAGTTACACATTATTCTAGAATTATTAACTATGTAATACTTTTTAAGTGTATCCCTTATGCCTTGCAAGGGTGTCAAATTTGTTTTTTTTAATGGGAACACGTATTTTGAATTTAATGTAAATGGTATTTAAATACCATTTACTATTGAATTAAAAATTCAAACATTTTATTAAATTCAAAATATGTGTTCCCATTTAAAAAAACAAAGTTGACACCCTTACAAGGCATAAGGGATGGACATAAAAAGTTTTAAATAGTTAATAATTCAAGAATAATGTATAACTAAAAAAAAAATAAAAAAAGTAAATGTTTAAATTATATTTATTCTACAAGTAATTGAGTGGGTTATGATAAAAAAATCACCTTGTATATGCGGCCGTTTAAAAAAATAAAGTTGATACCCTTATAAGATATAAGGGATAAACATAAAAAATATTGTATAACAGATAAATACATAAATACAACAGGATACATACATAATTAACAGAAGCCAAAAAATATGATTATTTTAATAAAAATTGAGGAGTGGCTAATGTTAAAAGAATCACCTTATAGAATAAGATTGATTTTTTTTTTGAAAAAGTATTTTTTATAGATTAATAGTCAAATCAAAAGCACTATAAGTTTTGAAATATTAGGAACTTTTTTAATTATAAATCTAAGTATAAATAAAATTGCATTGTGAAAAGCTAATTATACTTATAAAAAGAAAACTGAATTAAAACTATTACTTACGCTCTTTTGAAGAAACTTCTAATAAAATATAACAATAATAATAAGAATTAATTTAAAAAATTAAATGTACTGATTTTTTAAGAAGTAGAAATCTTATTATTGTTTCATGATTCAACAAGTAAATTTTAAAGTCATTTACTTTGAAAAGAAATATTGGTAATTTAAAAATTATACTGAACAAAAATTATTTTAATTAATATAGTCTCAAATTTATCACGATAAATAAAAAATTAACAAATTTCATATTACCTGCTCTACACGTATCAAAAAATACACTAATATTGCTGATAATGAAATAACTGTTTTCTGAAAAAATAATTAGAAGTTTTTTTTATGCGTATGTGTTAATTTTTATCAGTCAAATAGGATATATCAGTCGATTTACTATACAGACTAATAAATCTGTTACTAAATGGAAGTCATAAACTATAAAATTAGAAAGACGCTTATTTATTGGGACAAATATATTTACCCAATTAAATATGTGCCACTCTAATTATCAATTCATCTACGAAATGCTAGCCATTTTTGTAATAAAAAACCCAACCTACGGATATACTTACCATTTTTTAATTACTTAAAAGAATTTTGTATTCAAAAATTTTGAACTTTTAAATGTGTAAATAATAATACAGTAAAATTATTGTTTAGATACCAATTGAACTGTATTTTAAATAAAAATGACACATACATATTTATTAGTATCATTCTATTGAAAAGAAATTATAAGTTTAGATGATGGTCTTAAAACAGATGTTATTCACATTTAATTTTAAATTTATTACTTACTTTAAAATGAATAAAAACGAGTTATTTTAAGATACAAAATTATGTCTTCTAAACTAGAAAAAAAAACAAAACTTAAATAAAGTTAATAAATTAATCAATGAAGTTTGAATATTTAATAGAGATTCATTATTGGCTAAATGAAATTTATTTACAAAAAAGAAATTGGCAACGGAATTAATTTTTTTGATGAAGGTATACTAAATTTTTGAAATTTGTAACGTTAAAGGGGAATATGTTCTTTGAATTTTGTATAATATCGATCACGATCATCTGCACCATCGCGATGGTAGTGCTAATGTTAGATCCAGCCGAGGCAGAAAATTATCCACCGTCTATGGTAGACCGTAAACAATCTTTTTGGACTAGACTGCGCAAAGTAAAGAAGGCCTCTCATTCATTTCGAACAAAACCGCTAGCATCCAAAGAAGTTATAATGGCAATGGCTCAGAGAGCGATATATAACCTAGATGTGCAGAACATATCATATGAAGACGATTTATGGGCTCATACTCAAATCAACGCGTCGGCTGTCAAATTAGACAAAGACCTGCGAAATGTAATGATAATGGATCAAATTGTAAACAAGTTCTTTGACAAACTAGAAAAATTAGTTAGCATTTCTCAAGTAAACAATATTTTTGTTATTTTGAAACATATATACACTAATGTACAATAAACAATCCATGTTGTATAGGGTGACTTCATCAGTGAATGAACAGTTGAGATTATTCATCTTTAAAAAGATAAAAAACTCTAAGGACTTAAAAGTTCTTTATTAATTTATATTTTGATGGCACACTCAAAAAGTTAAAAAATATTTGTTCTCTGGAAAATTCTCTAAAATACTAATGTAAAAATTTTTATAATTCACTAACACAAACATTAAAATTAATTATTTTATGTTGTAAATTTCCAGTGAATGAACTGCTGATGACATTTTATCAAAAATTGTGATATTCCAGTAAGATTTAATATAGACGTTATCTTTGTTATAAAAACTACAACTTGTAACTTAATCACTGTAAAAAATGATTTAAAAACTTTCATACGTCAGTATTACATTTTTTATACACGAGTAGTATAATTTTGACATAAAGTATCAAAAATTCGTACAAATGTAACATTTATCAAAAATTTTCCTTACGTTGTGTGTGTTAACTTTCAACACGTATATGTGAAAATTCGGACATTTTTTTAAGAGTGATCAGATTAGACTATTTTTAATTAAACACTCGGTGATGTTCATTCATTGGTAGTATTCATTTTCTAGTAATACTATATAGCTTAATATTAAAAATGACTTATAGACACAAAAATATTTTAAAATCAATTGTTTACTAAATTTTATTATTTACAATCATAATAACAAACAAAGCTAAATATAATATAAATGTCAATATAACTTACCCGACGATTTTATCAAATGCCCTTCCCGAGAAAATTGTCTGAAAGGAACACTGACTAGGTATTCTGTATTGTGATGTAACCAGGATTACTTAATAGTATTTAATGATGTACTTATTAGTGAATTTAGAAAGCGAGATAGGTGCTTTTGAAAAAAATCCTAAATCCTAAAATGTTCTATATACTAAATTAGAGCTTGTGTTCGACGTATATAGTTTGTGTAAATTTCTAATTTGATATTCTTTTGAGAACGAAAATAAATGTAGTAACGGTCCGTAAGTTATTTTCAGTGGGAATAGATATTCGTTTAATAATCAAAATAAAATTTTAACTCTAATATTTATATAGGAGAAAGCTATAGAATGTAACAAAGAGTTAGGTCAAGTTACTGATGCTCGTATGATGTTAGAGACTGAAATTTACAAGCAATCCTTTATTGAAACAGAAAAATACCTGCCAACAAATGCAACGGATATTTGGTATCCAAAACCGAAACCATCGATGCCCCCTCAATGTCTTGTCGAACCTCAACTCAATGACATGATGTTGGACACATTTTCTAAATTTGTTGACGAAAACGTTGAACAAATTAATAAAGAAGAAAATTCGTTGTTTTAAATGAAATTTTATTATTTAAACTTTAAACAGTCGATATTTGAAACTTGATCACGTTTCTACTAGAAGCTCATTTCGGAAATATAGTTTTTGAGTTTTTTGTTCATCGATTCAGTTGATCAAAACCGAAAAAATCCAAAGTCTTTAAAATAAGCTTCGACAAACTATTTGGAAAACTAAAAATAAATTTTAACCAGAAACTTTTAGTTATTCATCCTGTGTATATTAAGAATAAAATATATTAAAATAATGATTATCAATACTAAATAGTTTATTGCAAGTAACAGTCGTGTAGCATGCTATTTAAATAAAATAATCAAATGACCAAGTCATATTTAATATATACTTGTCAAGGACATACAAGACTTAATGTAGTAGGCTTTGCTATGTACTATTTTGAGTGTTCAGTGACTAAATTTTTAAAGAAATGTTAAAAGGGGCAGTTCTTAAGCACTTTAGAGAAACTGTAACCATCTTATAAGCTATGCAGATTAACAAGATACAAATTCCTATAACACATAAGCGTAAGTCTTGGGGGGTTAAAGAAGGTTTAGCCTCATTAAACTTGACGTAGTTCTCTTGACAATTGAAAATAGTATATGTATTGTTACATAAAAAAATTTTTGGAGTGGATATAAAAAATTTGAACTCCCTAAATTTTTCCTTAAATTTACGTCTAAAAATATTGTGTTCTCATGACATGCTTTCATGTTTTTACAAACTGTTATAACTTTATTTGAAATCACTCAATCCTCCAGAATCTATAATCACTTAAAACAAGTTTTCTTATATATTTTTAATAATTTACGGTGCTTTGTCGCATGCAACGTCATCTCTGGAGCGTTTTTTTTATATTGATTTTTTTTGGGGGGATATTCAGCCTTTTATTTATAACTTTGGAAAACGTACAAAATTAAAAAAAAAAATTCTATTTAAAATATATTTTTTAAAGTTATAAAAGATTAAAGTCCAAAGAAATATTTTCGAATAGAAAATTAGGGTGGATTGGTCCCTTAACCTTCCTTTCTTAATACATCAATGCAGTTTACATTTATTTCTGAAAAACACTTTCAAATAAGTTTTTGTACAACAACTTATTAAACTTATTTTAATTTTCTATTTTTTACCCAAAAATTATATTCCTTTCTTTAATTTTGATGTCTGTTTTCACCATAAAGACAAGTCCAGAGTTTTTTCCAAAATAAATTATATTACATAAGATTTAATTTAAGATATTTACAAAAGTGCGAGTATTTCAAAAATAACAAAACCAGTTAATTTGATGTGGAAAAGTTGTCATTTTGAATCTCCCCTGTGATCAGGTAAAGGGTTATATTAAAAAAAAATAATAATACAACAAATGACAGGTAAATATCTAAGGTATTAATAAAAAAAGCAGTTTAAAGTAGAAAAAGTTTGAAAAATATTGAAAATGACCGATTTTAAAGATTGTAATTTTTGGGGGGTTTTTCTACATTTATGGGAATCGAAGGAAATTTTTTCAATTTTAGACAGAAATTTCTTCGACTAAATTCGATTTGTGGTCAATTATGAACGTATTGTTCATCAAAATTGGTCCAGTCAGAGCTGAAAATAAGTGGAATAGATATAAAAAAACACATTATTGTAAAATTAATACCTTTTTAGCTGTAAATCATGAACATTGTCTACATTTTACACAGTTTTATTGAGCTTAAATTAATAAAAAACAAGAAAAGAAAGTATAAGGTATTAAAATGCATTTTATGATAGAAAATCACACATTTTATAATTTAGATACCTAGTATTTTTTCGTGATAAAAAAATATTTCAGTATTTAAAGAAAAAAACAAAAATATATTTTTAGTAATTTAAAAAATTATCAGGTATTTGACCGTATTGGACTCGACTTCTAAGGTATACTTAATTATAGAAAATTAAGTAATGAGTATATTTGATATTTAGTATTTTTTCACTAAATGCAATAGAAAATGAGTAATCATTAAAAGATCATGAATTTTTTACACTAATAGAAGCAATATCAGAAAGTCTTTACCTTACTCTAGCATCATCTCAATAGAGACAATTAAAATTTACTCTTCGATAGAAAATCAAACGGTCTACAATTTCGATCTCTTATAATTTTTTCATATATACAACATAACTTAAATAATCGTGAAAAAATATAAAAAATAACATCATACTAAGGTCGCGGTATTGGAAAATGACAAAAATTATTAAAATATAAATATTCAATGAAAAATAAAATTATTATTGTTTTTGTCATCATAACGAATTTATCACAGACTACAAATATTCTGTAGATTTCAAATAGTCTGATTTTATGATGATCCGTACATGGTCGATTTTCAATAAACCAATTTCAAACAAAGTTATAACAGTTTAAAATAACGTGAAGTTGAAGGGTTATAACTTTTATCAAAAATTCGCCAGCTTACGGATGTAGATAATTTTGTTATGTCTATTTGGTATATTCATAATTTTTCTATGACCATAATCCTCCACAATCTATGATCGCCCGAGACATATTTTGATGCGCCGAAAAAATGTATTCGAGCGCCCTCTTAACGTAGAGGAATACACTGTTCTATAGTTTCCCCTCCGTAGTGCATGAACACTATCAATGAATTTCTAGAACAAATGTTCTGTTTTATTTAAAATTATTATCACTATTACTGTAACGTTTTTCTGTTGTAATTTACTTTTTGTTTTTTCTTTACGACTTACTTCATTTTTTTTTATTTTTAATTATTCGCATAGTATATTATTTATTGTGTTTCAATCAGTTTTCTTATTACTCTTTTGAACTATTTATAAATTATTTTTTGTATAATTTAATTTATATATAAATTTTTATTTTATCATATAGTTAATCTATAAAAGATCATTCTTAACTTTAGATGTAATTTATTGCCAACATTTAAAAAAATGAGTGATTCGTCAACATCTGCTATTAATGACAACAAATCTATTGATGTAAGTATTAATAGGAATATATTGATTTACTTTTTACTTTTTTGTTACCATAATTTTGTGGTAATTATTACTATAAAATAAATGTTGAGAAATTAATCAGCTGAAACAAGGAACATTTTAATAATTTATTAAAATACTTGAACACATGAAATATTAAGTTTATAAAACTACTTGTGAATAATAGTATTATGTATAACCTGCTGTGTGTTCTTATCCAATCCATCATCAAAAATTCTTAAACATACTACTGTTTTTTATCAACCAGAAAAATTTACTACAAATATTTTTTATTTTAACATAGAATTTGTGTTCAATTTCCAAATGTTCAGTATTTAGCAGTTTCATTTTCATGTTGTGTTCATGGAGTCAGATTCTTTAGCATTGTACTAAATTTGCACCTGTGTATATATAAATGTATATCAAATTTTTTATTTATTGAAAGTTGTATATAATATTACCAATTAAAGAACTATAGCTTTATTAATAATAATAATATAATGTTTATTAACAAAGTTTAACTAACTTTAATAACTGTTTTAGTTATTATAAAGGTGTGCAAGAACTGCCATGCACTCACTATAGGTCCATTGTGCACATTTCTGAGTTATATTAATTCGGTTTCTTCACATATGTGTTCCACCAAAGTGTAGTTGCCATTGTTGAAAACCTAAAACTATATATATCTATTTATATTCTAAGAGTACTGTCTTTCTAGCAAAATTTAGTATCTCTTTGGGTTTTAGGTTTTTAATATCTTCTTTTACGGGATACGATTTTCCCAAATGTTATGTTTATTTATTAACAGAATTAATTCCAATTTCAAAAGTATATATATCTATTATATGTAAATAAAATACTTATTAAAATATAAATTACAGGTAATCAATGAGCAATAATAAATTTAAGCATTTTTACATGGTAAACCTAATTAATAAAATATATTTAAGTGAAATGACTCATAAGAATCAATCTGCAATGAAAATTTATATAATGAATTATAAAAGAAATAAAATTGTATTACATTGTTTTCTAATGTTATTAAAACATTGCATGGTAAGTTCAATTCGTAAAGATTATGGATTTTTCTCTAGAGTTTATCAAGCTGATTTTAAAATTAATTCTTTCTAATAAATGTGGGATAATAAATAAAGTTATTAAATAACTGAAATAAAAAGTTCAATTTACTTCTAGTAAATTCTTCCACATCTAAATATTCAGAATGGGAAACTCTTATCACATTGTTTTAATAAGAAATAAAGCGAAAAAAGTTATTTTGTACTGTGATTAAATTTTGTGATTGGCTTATTGAATTTGATTGCTAGATGAGAGATGTTTATTCCATTTAAGATTTTACTAATAAACAGTACAATATTTTTAAAGATATTTTATCATGACAGTCCCTTCAAATATGTTTCATTAAATCTAATTTCTTAATAAATACAATATTAAAAAAAAAATGTTGCTTTTTTTTAGTTACATATATTTTTTGATTTATCAGCTAGTAATTACTTTTTTGAAACATCCCTTATAAACTTATAGGGGTGTCAATTTTTTTAAATAACAACATATATATTTAACAAGCTTATAAAATAGGAAATAATCTGATTAAAAAAATGACTGCTTGATAATAACATTTTGATCAGTACTTTAGAAATTATTCTCATTTTTATACAAAAGTAAGACGAAGAATATGGATGGGGGAGATGACAAATGATAAAAATAGTAGTACCTACTCCACACCTCAAAACTTTACTTTAAATTGTTAAAATCATCTGAAATGCTGGTCCAAAAGCAAACATTTTTTTCATTGTATTTAGTTTAAGAGTAATCGAGTGGCTTATGATAAACCTATCAACCTGTATATGAGTATTAAACAATGATTGACAATCAAATTTTACTCAAAGATCATTTATTATTGTGTCTTTTGGTAAACATAGTTGCTTGAAGAATACTGCAAAATAATAGGTTCCTTTCTTAATGTAAAAGTAATAGTAACAAATAATCTCTGTTCTTTAAGTGTTTGCATTCATTACTCAATATTTCAAATTTATTATACAATTCTGGGTCATTTGAATTTATATATATAAAATAGGTACGGTTTTATACATATTACAAAATCATAGTGAAAAATGGTATTTGATTTTTTTAATTCTTAATTTTGTTATTAATACTATGTGTGTTTCGATAGTAAATATGAAGTTGAGTATTACTTATTAGTTTTGTGATGAATTTATATTTTTCGTAGTACCTTTAAATATTTAATATTAACAACCTTTCCTCTATTTTCACAATGTTATTGGAGTTTTTTCTGAAAGTTCGACATATTTTTTTGTTATTTCATTGTTTGATCCAACATCAAATAAATATTTGCCCATTTTAATGTTGAACGTAAGAAATTTTATGATCATAAACTATTGAATACTTCTTATTGGCTTAACAGTTTTATTTTAAAGGGTTGAGATTTTTCAGTATGATATGTCTTTGATTTACCCAAACGATTGAACTAACAATTTGTAATCTAAGTCTTCATACATACAAATATTTCTTTTATTTGCAAGTCATCAATTCTTTCATTGGATTCTGGCAATTCAAATAAATTAATTTTACATGATCATGAGGATAAGTGCATTATTCTTTTATTAGATCTTGTTTTGGAGTATTTCTTTCATAAAATTTTCTATGATATTTAAAATTAGAAACCATTTCTTCAATTTTACAAATCGTTCACCATAGTTGTTAAAATTAGAAACTATTTTAGAATTAGAAAATTTTAATTCATTAATAGATTTAATAATTGTTTTGTAATTTTCATACATAATGATAGTAGTTTTTGATTATAAATTCTATTAGAAGAATTATTAAATGACACTATTTATATTAGAACATATTAATAATAAATACACATTTGACTGTCAGATAACAAATATTAAAGTTGGATATAAAAATTAGAAATGGTGTTTTGATCTGATTTTATTAATTATAACATCCATATATTAATTATTTTTGTATTAATCTATTAAAAAAGGTCTTAAAACAAGAATTACATGAGACACAGCTTCAATTAAAAACTAAAAATGCATTTATCAGTGATCTTCAATATGATATGGAACAGCTTCATATTATAGAAGATCAAAATATTAGATTAAAAGAAGAAGTTTTTATTAAAGAATCAGATCTCAAACAATGGACCATTAAAGTAAAATAAAATAAAATACTTTAATAATTTGAATTTAGTAAAATATCTATACTTTTAACTATAGTACTCAAATTTAGAATATAAACTTCAAGAACAGCAAAAAGAATATTCATCTCAAATTGAAACACTTAATAATCAATTAGCAGAATTAAAAGCAAGGAAAGATATACAGACAAATGTAGTACCAGTAGATTTAAATGAAAGTATTATCACAGAGTTGAAAACGGAATTAAACAATAAAAAGGTAATAAAATGATTGCAGATAATATTTGTATATTGGCATGTGTGAATTAGATCATTCAACATATTGAAGTTAAATATTGCTGACTTCATTACTTTTTCATTTTTTTTTTTTTT